TGACGAGCTTTCGCTAATTTAACGAGCTTTCAGTGCGTGTGTGCTTCTGTCCGCCGTTGAGTCTTGTTCCCACTGCGTTGGTCCTCGGTCGCGTGCAGCCAATCAGTGAACTGGTAAAGTTTGATTGGCTACGTTCCGGAAGACGATCGTTTCACAGGACGAGCTCGGTGCCAAAACGAATTAAACTCGTTAACAAAGGTGCTGCCGTAATTTGGTAAAGTTGTTGCAAGCCTAGTGGCTTCCTAAATAGACTTTGAAAAGACTTTCTGGCAACAGTGCCAACAAAGATACCAATAATCATTAACTTCTGTCATTAAGGCTGATGCATTTGCACATTATGCATGTCTATGAAAATTTCGCATTCGTTTGCCGATAAGGGTCTGTCGACTCGTTGGGTTTTATTATTATCTTGTATATATTATGGTTTGCTTTTTTAGCTTAGGGCAACGGCACCTCCCATTTGTTTAATCCTTCCACTTTATCTTGTTCTGTATTTTAGCATTATCTACCCACAGAAAGCGAACGGAGAACCAGTGTACAACCCGTGTGGGAAGTATATGATAAAACTTCATCTGAATGGCGTGCCTCGTAAGGCAAGTGTAGATACGTTTATTTAAAACGTATCCTATCCCGGAAATTGCAGGCATTATAGCCTGTCGACCATTTTTATGTCTTAAATATTTTGGCTCTCCTAATCTCTCTTTTCATACCTAATGGGAGATATTTGTTTGGTCTCATGGCCTCTAATTCAGCATTCAACCGCTATTTCTAGTGCCCGTTAAATACTACCTTTCCTTTGTCATTTTCCGTTTTCTACGATGATTATTTGCTAGATGTCTTTTGAAAAAAACAGCCTATGTTCTGTTCTCTGTTCCATAAAATATGCTATCTGATATCTCTGTATGCGCTCGAATGGGTCCTGTTGTGTTCGATATTCTTGTCATTTTTTGACGGGAGTTTATTCATAGTCCCTATGATAGAGTCCCGGAGTACTGTCCTCTCTTCCTTAATAGGAATCTTGTGGTTATTGTTACTGAACTAGGAGCTCGTGGCCTAAGGCGACTAGATCACGTGAACACTGGCGCCGCAACAGGCCAAATAAGCTGAGTCGCACGCGCGGGCAACCAGACAGCCGATCAACGTGCGCTCGCGAGCACGCGTGACGTCTTCTGTCACTATACCTAATGCTTTGGCGTATGTGATTATTACGAATTGAAGTGAATTTTCGCAATCCAGATGTGTGTATAGGTAAATAAGAAGGCAAGTCGATCACCGGAATCATGGTTTTATTTATCTGAGCTTTCGAACTCTTACTGGAGTCCATCGTTAGAACGAAACTACAAGCAATAGTTATAGGAGGGCAGGAGCCAATCAACCAACAGTGACGTCAGTCCGTAGGTGCCTGCGTAAGGCTATATATGCCGTCCCAGATCGCTAAATCGACTGACTGAGTTCTCATCTGAGGCTCAGACTTCAATTAATTCTCGGCCTGTCTTGCTGTCGCCATATGTGATTATTAAATACGCGCCCGTTTGTTCGTGCATTGAAGGATTCTTCACTGCCTTTTGCTAAATGCGAAAAGGTTTTTAGATGATTTTGAGACCCAGACAGTTGGTTGAAGTATAATCCTCTAAAAGCTACAGGCAGACAAGCCAGCTGTTACCTTGTTTCACTTGCGAGTAAGCTAGAGCGCGAACCTCAAGTTAATCCTTTGGAAAAAGTTTTTTAGACTCGGTTCAAACGTTAATATTAATATTTGAGCTTCAATCCGTCAGCCGTTATAGACTAACCGCGTAATATTCAAAAGCTGCGAACAGGCAGTGAACCACATGTCTGAAGTGATTAGCAAACACACAAGTTGTCAGTATAGTAGATAAGTACGTAGGTCAGCTCTTGTCTAATAAGTGTATGTCTGGTCGCAATGAACAGATGCATTATCATGCAAAACTATGATATCCATTTCGCGTTTGTAAAGTGCGGTTTTAGCCAGCAACAATGTCGATGAGCAGCTTGTAGTTGATGGTGTTCGTTGTTAACTGCTAGGCTGGTCTTGTCCAATTATGCTGGTCGTGTCATTTGAAACTTAGCTCAATTATTTAACACTTTACTGTCCGACCTAGTGCGAAGGTAGCGCTGTTCTTCAAAGGCGCTTGTACAAGTGCTTTATATAAACTCTTGGTATTTTTCTTATCTTTATGCAGTCGGCATACTAGCCAAGAGGTGTGCCCGTTTCATTGCCTGAAGTGCCTGTAATGGAAGTGCACACTCGGGTATTTTTTGCGCTTTTAGGTAATTGTAGATGACTTCCTCCCAATGGGATGCAACGATGAACTTCTCTGCTCCTTTTCAATGAATAGGAATGAGCTGTGGGTATCCCTCTTGGAGAAGGCGTACATGAAAGTCATGGGTGGATATGACTTTCCCGGATCGAATTCTGTACGTTATTCTGTCCTTTCTGATCCCACGTCGTCTTCAATCCCAACACCGTTTTTCGGCTTGTCAGCCGTCCTTCTATCATCACCTTCCCCCGACTATTCATGCAAGCTATTGAACATTAGAGATTCGATGGAAAACGTGCGCCTGTTTATATAATTTCCTCTCTTTACTCAAACCCTCTCACACTGAGTCCGGCAGCCATCACTTTAGAAACAACAATTCAATCCATTGGGAAGTTCGGACCAAGGTTTAGATGAACGTCTAATTTTGCACTGAAAATTATCAAACTAAATGATCCAGAAGATTGCTCTAAGGCACAAGCAGTTGACGCTATACATTTGCGCTCGCACCCTCCCTTCGTAAGCACGACTGCTGGTTGATTCTCCTAAATACTGGCTTTCCGTTAGTTTCGTTGAGCCATCCTGCCAATCGGTGCCAACTCTCCAAAACCTTAGGATGAGATCCAAGAATTTCCGACATGTGCTCTTCAGGGAATTAATAACATTTCCTTGAAATAGACTTTTTTTCTGTTACTTGAATCGGAGAGTATTACGGCAATATCCTACCCCTATAAGGCCCTCCCGACCCCCAAAATAGGCTTCACTTCATTTCCCACTTACAGACATGAAGCAGTTTGAGAGGGAAACATTTGTTCATCGATTAATCATTCTGTGTTAGATCACCGCGTGTGCAGCCCCACCAATCCTCTCTGCACAACCTTTCGTTTTTTGGGACAGCAAAAAACATAGTGGTGGTTTCTCTTATGACCCACGCCTGGTACTTGTAATTAACACGAACTGTGCGCTCGCCTGACTGTTTTTCCCAAAGTCAGCACGCGAGGCGAAAAGGAGGCAATTAACCAGGCGGAGAGCTGTATTAACGATTAGTAAGTGGACACTCGTTGATTAAAGTTCACCGACCGCTAACTGAGCTCGCATGTTTCGCTCTGTCTTGGGTCTCATTTCTCGGGGCGTGACAGCAGCCGTAGTGGCTAGGCGTTGGCAATACAGTCCGCCTAATTAGCAAGTCATTCTCACAGAAAAACTATATATTTATTGATCCGCTCGATGAAAAAGTGTCGGCGATATAGATTAATCAGCTTGACTCAAATATAAGTAAATTCACTGCTGCTGGCTCGAGCTCTCGTAGCTAAGCTGTTTTAAGATTTGGCTGCACCCAGGCCCCGCCCTTGGTGGTTTTGGGTTCAACTCCCATCGAGGCCGCAGACCTTTTCACAATTCAGTCAATTTTTTGTCAAATTCTGCGAAAACCTCTATAAGATGCCTTCACTAAAGGCCGCCGTATATCAATAGTGCCACCTTGGCTTTACGGGGATATATGGGAGAAGTCTACGCCGAGCATCCGTTCTGTGGCAGTATGAAACTCCGTGACGAAACTTCGCAAAATATGGTTTTCCTATGGTATCTGCGGAAAATCAACTTGTTCTACCATTAAGTTTGCTTAAATCATGTGATCAAAAGCCACTGTAAGATGCTACTTGAATTAACCCAAAGTACCTTTTAGTAAAATCTCAGTGGTAGTTTGCTTGTATTTTGTTCTTTCACCACTACGCCTATTCGTCTGTTCATTGCCTTTGATGCGTTTTCGTTTCCTAGAACATCGACTTACATGCTCTCACCGGCTGGATACCTGAACGAATTCCCATCAAGCCCTCAACTGGCTTTTTTAATGCCGACCGGGAATTCCGCCGTCTGGCCTCAAGGTTCCATCAGGGACACTGCTTGGTGACAGTCGCCACGGGCGTTCTCTCACCATCGGACGAGACTAGATCTGGCTTAGTGCCAACCCATGCCTACGCGCTCTTGGACATGCAGGAAGTCGGTGTGAGTCATTCAGTCTTCACTGTCATTACTACTGCTACTATGTGAAGTATTGTTTTCCCGAAAGAAATTTGGGTAGAGCTTCACCGTACGACCGTCCAATGACAAAATTCTTCCAGCCCAGCTGTCTTACAGAATTCGTGGTTAAAGGTTTAATTTTCAAGTAATGCGTAGTTGGTGCGCGTTTAATGTGTGATAAGTGCACAGCAGGAAATAAATTGAAGACGCCTGTACTGTTTTACTTAACTCAAATGTAGGTGAAAAGAGTGCAGGAAGAACGAAAAGGCCCCGAAAACTGTAATAGCAACTCCACTGGCTAGCGAAGGAATCCTATAGACCGAGAAAACAAGTAGAGCAACTCCTAATACCACTAGGCGACCCGACAATGAATCCCTGCCGAAATTTGTACAAAGCAAAGACAAAGGGCTTTGCAGAATTTAATGACGTCATACCAGTTCGTGACTTGTCATCACCTGTTTATAAAAACTGTCCAATTAAATATCGACCTTGAAGACTGAAACTTGATAAGTGAATAGAGCATGAGTTGTTGGTCTTGGTTGCGAGTGCGCATGGTAAGGGGGAAGAGGAGGGGAGAGTTACTTCTCGAAGCAAGGCAATTCATTTTATAGTGAAATCCTTTCAAGCGTGATTAAGAAGGGCGGCGAAGGGGCAAAGGACAAGGCAGCAGTCGGTCGTACAGGAGAGGAGGAGGCGTGGGAAAGCATAGGTTTACCGATCGTTACCACGGCAGTACGAGGTTGATCACATGCTCCAGCCGCCTACATAGTTCTGGTTTTCTCCATATTTCAGCGGCCTCCGCAAATCGCAGGAGACGCCCGGTTGTCGACCGTATGGCCAGTGTCAACTAGGTGCTTCGTGATTAAACTCTTGGTTATTTTAGTTTCCGCCCTAAGCAACCACTTTGGCATATGCTTAGCTGGCCGCGTTGCCAACTGCCTTTGCGTGCGCCCGATGTATTTACACCTTCAACTACATGCAAACTAGTAATCGCAGTTTGATGTGGCGTGCATCGGCAGAATGTCTTTAGTTGGTCTAACCGGAATAACCGCTATTGTGCTTATGTACAACAATTTAGAGGCGGCGTACCTTTTTCCATCGTGCATCTAAGCCGTCGCTTGATCAAGTTCTCCCTCTTTAGGGTTTTCGACCACGGCAAAAATGTCATCTATGTATTGTCTATAGAAGGCACGCGATATTTCTGTAGCCACGAAAGTGCGCGTTTACCGTGCATCTTTGTGGTCTGCTCTTCTCTACGGTTATGAATGCTGGGCTGTGTATGTGGAAGATGAAAGGAAACTGGGTGTATTTCACCAATACTATCCTTCAAGTGAAGTACACCGACGTCGTCTCAAATGAGACAGTCCACATTCGCCGCGAAATCATCGAAATTATGTCTCAGACCAGTCAAAAAAACACGATTGAGGTGGTTTGGACACTTTCTTAAACGTTCACCTCTCTCACCTTTTTGCT